AGACCATTATATAGATTAGATTGCCATTTGTTCAGCTGGCCAGAAAAGTACAAAAATATATTCCCTTACCGGGCATCTGGTTTTCAGCTTTATCTAAATGGTAAGAGAAGAAGAGTAATACTTTTGATTTGATAAATAACGATTGACCATACATTACATAGTATACAATTGGTGGTGCTGTACATCGAACGTTTTCTCCTCAATGTAGATCCCAAACCGCTTTGCAGAAACCCTGCATATATCGCCTTTATCACTTCGATATAGGATGCAAAAGCATATTTCCTCTCCTTTAAGAAAGGCTATATGTTCTTGCTGTGCTGTGCACTTGTTCCTTGTTTATTTTGTCGTAGTAGAAACCTTTATATAAAGATTGTGCTCTTTTATACCTTTTTTGATCCATATTTTTTCGCGTTTATCCTTGTCTTATTGCCCAGGATGCTCGGGATTTTTAGTGGTTACACACGTAACGATACATTTATCAATAGTATAGTTAGATATATCTTTCAACAAATATGTTTATGAACTGATCACACAACCATTAAAAAAATAATCAACCAAACAATCAATTAATAAACCCATGTTTGTAAACTGATCAAGAAGCTGATACATCAACTGATATACCCATCAACTGATATACCAATCAACTGATATACCCATCAACTGATATACCAATCAACTGATCAATGAAGAAAAGTAATCCGTTAAGCAATACATCAATCAATCGATCAAAGAATTAATCAACAAACTAAAATTAACAACCATCTCATTACTTTCCGGATCGTTGGTGATACCAATAATGATGAATATTACCTAATTGTCTTAATAAATCTTGCCCCGCTTGTATAAAACATCTGAACACTTGAGACTTCTGCAAGTCCAAGAGTTCCCATAGACAATACATTGCTTGCAGTTTTCCTCAACTTTGAGATGTTTTATACAAGTGTCCCTAAAGACGTAAATACTTATTATATATGATGACATGGTTCTGTGAATGTGATCATGGTTAATGTCAGGTATAGCATGATTCTGAAATTATATTGTGTTATAGTGCTAATCCAAAACTTATTTAAGAGATTAACAGTACAATTAATAATTTAACGTTATACTCATGCGTGCAGGGATATACCTTTACACTATGTATCTAGTGCCATTTAATACCAGAACATGGTGCGATAAGTTGACGTTCCATTTGTTCACGGTAAGACCAGTTAGAACATGCTAATACTGTACATGACAAATCCCCAATCGGCAAAAAATACTGCTAGAGGGGCAGAATTTGAAATATGTAGGAGTGGTAGATGAAACCGAAACACACGTGAGCCGGTCAAATAAGTAGGATTCATTGTTAAAGATAACCACAAGTATATATAACATTACAAAAAGTATGTGTACTATGTATTTATGGTCCATAGCATTTAATGTGCAGACAAGTATTCCAATGTCTTTCTTGATTCATCAAAAGAGAATATTTAACCAAATAAATAGTGATAAGGAAAGAAAGCATGCTATCACATATTACAAAGGGTATTATTACTTAATTTATTGGTATACATTCTTTCCTTAGATCTTTTTTGTATGCTTTCTCTTTGAAGTACTAAAGTCTGATGCATGCACGTACTTAGCTCATATATAATGGCATGTTCTCGACGCCCTGCTCAAATGTTATTTACGATGTGGTTGTATTTATTCGTGTGCATAACAATAATTTTGTATCAAATGTCAACGATAACATCTTGTAATCATTGGCTTATCGTAAACAATGCATGGCTAAGTGTCGGATATATTGTACTTGGATATGAATACATGTTCAATCACATTGCACATATTAAAAAGGCTCTTTGTCTTCACTATTTAGTTTAAACAAAGTATTGGATTTTTCAAAATTACTGATTCTTTTTTATTTATTATTTATTATATTTTCCATTTTTTTTATGACATAAACATATATATATACACTATACACTATACATGGACGTCTAGAATCGCCTTTAAATAATGTACATACTGTTCAAAATATTCTATCAAGTATACATGTATATTAACAAATAAATATACATTCACATTTTTGATATAAAAACAAATTTCGTGATATTCCTGTCCGTACTCGATTCTAATTTTTATTGTGTTACAATCTAGTTCTGATTTCCGGTTAGAGTCACGATGGTGAACAGACTTACGGATTAATTTGAAGGGTTTGTTCAATTCGGAAACATAAACTGTTTTTGTTAATCTGTCTGATTAGATATTTGATTTTACCGAGATGATTGCAATGTTTACCTTATTCAGCAGCAATCCTTTACAACTGGCAGACTACATGTTTATGTGTTGTCAGAACACGAAGTGAGTAAGTACATTTGTATGTAGAAAACTCTGGTTAACCGTAGATTCCTTTTGTTTCCGGTTATTATTTCCACAACAGAAATATATAATTTATTTATAAACGGTGCTTTGTCAAGGAAGGTGAATTGAAAAAGGAGTAAATTTAAACGTTCTTATTCATGGATGATTTTCCGACAAACAAACAATTGAAATATTAATTGTTTCTTATTGATAATATATAATCTAGGTTTGAATAATGAAAATGATTTTAAATCCAAAAAATTATGTTGGACTGATCTATTAATTTTTTAGGAAAACAGTACTAATTGAAATATCAGAATCCAATTGTATCAATTTTTATTAGCGAAATAAAACATGTCGTCAAATTCATATTTTTATGCTCAACATCTGAAGAATATTCTGTTTTTAATTATTATGAAAAATTCGTAAATTCATTATCTACCTTAAAATTGAACTTCTCTAACCCAGCTTGATACCACCTAGTCAACTTCATTAAACATGATAACAACATTTTCAAACTTTCATATATTGAACTTCATTTATATTTGATACGTTCAATCTAGGTTGATTTTAAGCCAGCCATTATGGCTACAGTTTATTTGTCAAAACTATCAAATTGGTTTTCAGACTAAATTACAGCATTGCAAACGCAACATCTTAATTATGGTAGAAAATCCAAAATTCATTCTTGTTATATTTCATACACATCAGTGGACCTCAAACACAACATTGACTCGAAAAAACCCATTAATAGATTATTCTCAAAATTTCTATCTAGCGTTTGCATATATTCTTAATTCATTGTTTTTTATTCCATTTCCCCTATGTTTGTTTTTCTAGCCTTACATTTATTAATTCAAATTGACAATGATTAATTGTATTATTTTTATTTCCTACTTTTGTGTGTACAGTTAACGTATGATATTAATGTACGTCTTGGTACCAGTTGGTTTTCCCCGCAAAGAATACCGCAAAATCTCAGGGCCGTTCATTCTCTATACTCTGCTCTTTATTTAAAGAATGTCATCAGAAATACTACGACCATCTTGATATATCATTATATACAATTATTTCATTCTAATCTTTTTTTGTAAATCTCGTATATTGAACTAATATCTGAAAGTTATACTCTATATTTATGTATTCGGGGTATGAAATATGTTAACTTGGTTTCGATATTTTCTTTATTTTTGTTATTATGTTTGTTGTTTTGTGCTTGTTGTTTATTCAGTTATGACATGTTTTTGTGGTTAGATTTCTGTAATGACTTAAGTCAAGTGAAGTATAAAATGTTACCGTTTAAGTGCTATTAGTTTTGCATGTATTTGCGGATGGTATTTGCGAGATTGATGTATACTTGTTTTCTGTTATATAGTATACTTGACCCTGCTTTCGTTGAGAGACTCATATTATTGATGTGGCGATTCAGTGTATTTTGATTAGTTGATGTTTGCAAGGACTGAGGTGGGTCGATCATCGAAGACTTAATAAGTTAGAGCGTTCGTCTAAACTTGGAAAGTCCTTGGTCCGATTTTTCTGCAGGTCTAATTCTTGTGTTTTCATTTGAAACATTTGGGTAAGATGTACTTTTATTTTATACAGTATCCTTGTGGAGAGTTTGTCATTGTTGATGCTCTGCTGTTGTGGTATAGTTTTTGGTGGTTTTGTGTTTCTTGTACACTTGCGACCTTCATTATATATATAATTGTTATTGTATGGTATTTATGTCACCAGAGTACGGTGTTTGTATATGATAACAAGGTATGGCATTTGAAATAGCTGATCCAGTACTATTCAGAATGAGTTGTAGATACTGTAATCATGTATTTTAGTTTGGTGTGGATGTTTTGGTCGAATAGTTTCTCCTTGTGTATATGGTTATGTGTAGTATATAATGACTTTTCTGTTATTGAATTTTGCGTGATACCTCTATCGTATATATGTTATGCATTGCCCTGATATATCTGATAATTGATAATTTACATGAACGTATTTGTGTACTCGATTATATATAAATTATCACATAATATTCTAAATAGCTGAAAATTTGACATAACGTGAGATTTTACATTACTTATAAATAACACTGCCTAAACAGTCTATGATGTTATTCATTTAAAGATGTCATTTTTATTACATTATATGATATAACCCATATTACATGATTTATAAAAGGAAATAAATTATTTGATACTTAAATCACGAAAATGTTTGGCAACATTTAAGAATATCATGAACATCCTTTGTGAGTCATATAGGTTATGGGCATAAAACGGAATCAGGACATTGGTCCCCGCACTAGGTTACTATCAAGGCCTTTGGTGTTTAACGCTTAGTATACTTGACAAATATTTTAAATATATCTAAACTGCATCTTTATTTCATGCATAAGTTTATATCATACATTCAGAGGATAATTGAAATGCTTTCACACTCGCATGTATTGATAAATTATCCGTTTTGTTAAAATTATACAATACCTCAAACATTTGAACTGGTCATTGAGTTGGCTAGGAATTTAAAAATCTGAGTCTAGTGGTTAGTTGTGAGTCATATGTAACACTCCGACACATGATAGCATAACTGCGATGATCTCAGTCGCTAAAATTAGAATTTTGGAAAAAACATTATTCCAGAAATGTTTAACACAATTATTCAGTTAAAATAACTAAAATGTTTGGTGATAAAAACTGTTAAGAAGAAGCGGCCTACTATATAGGTAAGGTACCAATATGTATCGTTTTGAGTTCAAAACATATATCGGTTAGATTATAAAAAAACCTTTCTATAAAGTTTTACTGTAATTTAAGTAAGTTATTGGATAAACGAGGAAACGTAAATAAATACTACTGCGACATAAATATACCATTCATCCACTAATTTGTGTTTACGATTGAAAACCAAATAGTTTCCTACACCCATTAGCCTAATATAGATGCTATTAGTCTTCGTGGTTGCGGTGGTTCCATTCACGACACCGTTCATCAGAATAGATATACACAAAGCTCTACTTTATAGTATATTATGTTTATTTATGTTGTAACAGACCAATGCCTGCGAGAAAAACTTGATATCAGCTTAAATTTGTCAATAGCAAATTTAAGGTGAGGACTCATGCATGGTGCTGACATTTTGTAAAATAATAGTGAAGGTTATGCAGTTATTTTTTATAAACCAATGTGTTCATAGCTGCTATAAATATTAACCTTTAAAAAGTATATTGTTACTATCATGATTTATTTTAAAAGGACAAGATTAAGACTAATTTACTTTATCATATGGACTTGGAATGTACATATGTTGATGACGACGGTCAACCACCCTTTCCCCCTTTGCTTAACAGTTTCTGCCATTTACATTTAGAAGGTTTATGCATAACTATGAATTTTAGTCTAGGACAATGTTCGTTACATGTAACGTCAAACAATAAATATCCTCTTTAAATTATGGATATTTCGCAAGTCAGACGTTTGTTAATTGACTGCTATAGACTGGTATGTGTAACTTTTCACACAATCATTAATAACATGGATAAAGAATTCACTGTCACATTTCAACCAACAGTTTGTTATTTTGTATCTTTGTAGAATGTGAAAAAGTAGTTTATACTCCTTGTTGAGTATAAAATGCGACTGACCAAATGTTACCAATGGCTTAAAAGGTCAGTTTTTAAAGAGGATTCACAGCTGAATTCAACCATTGTCTTTAAAGGTCACGAGTTAAACTCGAATAGATCCAATCACATTGTGTCATACAACCTTCAGCAAAACAAACCATATAGGCCAACAAATTAACACAAGGCATGTGTTCGAAATACAGCAAAATAACTGTTGAGGGAATGTCAAATTGAATTTAATCCTTTGTTCCCTTTTATTACTTTTGAATATCGTCAGTCGGTTCAGGGTAAGCACTTACTTGCTGATACTGTAGTTACTTTTACCCTATACTACAACATACGTTAGGACCGATATGTTTGGCGGTAGTAAAGCAATTTTCACGCTCTCTTGATTGTGCATTGACTTTCATTTATTTTTGTGTTTCTGTGTGTATCGACGGAAATGTCATCTGCTATCATGTAATTCTGTTGGTAGATATATGTAACCAGTTGAGGTGAAATATTACTGTGAGGTAGCTGTTATTTTTTTCAGTGCGAGGCAATGTCACATAGCATTTCAGTGATCAATCAAATAACCCCTTCATCTTGTGACCTTTACAGTATCACAGTCTAAAATAATAATGTTTAAAGCTTGTATTAAACATATTTTCTTTACCAAAATTCAGAATTATCTATAAATGTGTGCTGCGCAAAAAATATTCTTAGCATTTTATTTATATATCTTTTTGTATTTTATACCTTTCTTTTAATAGTTATTATTATTTTCAAATAAAGAGGAATTATTTACGAATGTCTTGCTTACTAACGTTATACCGTAATTTCAACAAGAGTTCAACCTGAATATACCAATAAGGCGGCGTTGAACTAACATGTGTAGTATGCTACCAAAAACCGCACGCTAGTCGTACATTTCCAATATATGTAGGGTGCCGTAACTTATATAGCGCTACTCGTTTAAGCTGTAAGTAACGTAGATATACTGGCTAATATTGGTTAATATTAGTTTATCTGCTTACAAATCTGGCTATTTAACCGTTATGCAGTATAGAAATCAGTAGAAATAACTTCATTCCTTATATTTTGAAGGACATTTGCGATTTTGTATGCATTTAAGTTAAACCGCAATTAATTTGGTTATCATTTCTAACAATAAGATCTACTTTGAACCGGTTTTAATTTTCGTAACATTGATAGTGTTTTGATACGTTTGCTGTACAGAGCTTAAACGAAGCACACATATATGTTATATTGAGGTCTTTGTCACCAGCTTTATAGTTCACCAAGAGTGATTTAAACAGGCATTAATATATGTATACAATTCATAAAATACTAATTGTACAAAATAACACAAAGTATTTTTTTTACTTCATAACAATGAAAAAAGAAAGGTATACTCTATAACACCAAATAAATATTATACTTTATTACACCAAACTATTTCTATATTTAATATCAACAATTAATTTTATACCATATAACTCAAAATAGCCTTTGTACTATATTTCAGTAAATTATAATTACACTTGTTACCACTAATTAAATATTTAACTATAAAACACCAAATAATTGACTAGGCTATAAAACAAGTAATTACTATGAAACACTAATTGATTGCTCTTTCTATAAAAACGATAATTATTAGCAATGATATACAAATACCAATCATATCGGAATATCAAACAATTATTCTGTACTATCAATCACCACGCGATTATAACACTATATTATATTCAATAAAAGCAATACTTTATAGCCAAAAACCATTACTGTACGAAATAACGGAGCATAATTGCTTGATTTCACATTGTCATTTCTCGGAAACAAATACTTAAAGTATTAACAATGTTTCTGACAAACTGTTTTCCATTGCTGCCTCATGCGTAGCTATGCCGTCAAATACTTGAAGTCTTACTAATTAAACACAGGAATTACAACGAGATTCACGGTTTGATTAATATCACCCACGATGATATTACCCAAGCGTTGAAATAATATAGCAAGGCTATTTATTTGACAAAACCATTTATCATAACAAGTCAATGCTAATTGTCACTTGTCATGATTATCTAGAAAATATTGTAATTGAAGGGCAGTAGTTTTAGAACGCTTAATCAACGAAAAATACTATCAATGAACTTCATTTGCTAAAAATATAATTACTTTTTTTAAATAATGTATTCAATCTTTTCATATTAAATAGTCACATATTGTTTTCATTAATATTTGACCTCCATGGATTCATCAAAGTTTGAACATGAACTTTGCTTTTCTGCTTCGTAAAACGATTTGTTTGCCTGGGTAACTTTTTAAAACTTATCTCCTCTGTATAACTATTTTATCGATGATAAAAACGTCTTCGTTATAAATATATGACCAGCAATATTAACAGTATGCTAAAATATATTTATATTTCAATCACATGCCAAACGCCCTGAATCAGTTATGTGTTTTAATAACACAGAAACAAAACGTAATGTTATGTGTTTGTATTTTAAGTTTTCATCCTAATCAAATTTTAGTAATTTTTTAATACAAATGAAGAGAACAGTGTTTGATCACTTTGTAACCTAGGTCATGTTCACGGTCAAAGTGCGAGTTAATCTGCGCGTGAATAAAAATACACCATGTAACCTTGAAACAGTCTTCTTGCTGATTACCTTGTCGCTTTCTTCGATGAATGTGTTTAGAGGTAAGTGTAAAGATTTGCAAACTTAGACTTATTATGATTATTATTAACGTTTATATTTAAAAACAAATCACATACAGTGGAAAATAGCACGTATACTAACTAGTAAATACAGGAACGAACAAACACTCAGTTACAGCACACAGGAACGAACAAACACTCAGTTACAGCACACAGCAACTCCTTATTATATTTAAAAAAAATAACGATCATTTTTGTATTATTGGTCTAACAGTTACATCATTAACTTCCAAACATGTTATTTTTTAGCTATAGAGCGTTATAACTATGATTCTATTGGTATAGCATGTTTTCATTCTATCAGTATTGGGAGCGGCAGGAATAACGGGAAATCGTTTTGTACGGATACCTTTCAGTTTATTTTGGTGTATTATATCCTTCTTTGTTGACGTTTCTATTTGCCGTATTTGATCCCTATCCACATTTTTCATTTTTTTCGCACCAAATTGTCACATTTATATAAGACATCATAAACCAATACTAACATAAAGCATACTTGATCCTCATTCAAATTGATATATAAATATTTATATATCTCTTTTGATGGTCTTTCTTTTCTTTAACGTTCCGGGAACGAATTTCGACTTCGGTAGAAATGTTAGCAACTTTGTTACTGGTTCGACTCTGTCGTTGGGGTGACCTCATATATTATTGGGATATGTTAATTCAGTTTACAGGTGTTACGACACTTCGGGACGTCGGTAATGTTACTTAACTACAGTGTATCCTACCGTCAAGAGAGCATTACTTCCATTACAATTCATTTTGTATCAACAACAAAATTTTATGATCGTCGATTTACCATTTTCACAAATATGGAGGACAATGCTAGCTATGTGATTTATTTTAGTTCTTTTGTGACATTTCGGCATCGCTGATTAACATATTTTAATAAAAAAAAACACAAATGTCAAATGCATCGAATATAAGTTAAAATAGTACCCCAACGCTTTGACATCGTAACAACATAATGACAACCAATATGGTATTATTTGAAAGTTTTTTTTATCGAATGTATAAAATTGGTGAGTAAAGCATCCATGTACGAATACAACTTCACGTTTCAAAGTAAGTTAACAGTGTTAATTATATCCATATGTCATAGTTCCATATATTGTTATAAAGCAAACTTACTAAAGTACTTTAAATGTTACAATTCCAACAATGGAGTGTAACCCGGACACGGCTGACGTAAAGTATGAAGTCATACTTGTCGTAAGATATGGTAATATACAGACATTACGTTCCTATGTACAGATGGTTTGTCAGTGCACTCAATATCCTTGAGCAAGATCTACGATGTAGGTTGTGATAAAGCGGTATTTACGAACCTCAAATTATCATTATTATAATTTGTAAAGAGAGTTTTTCCCTCAGTTAAATACCTTGTATTACGCTGTATAATCCGTTAAATGATGCGCGTGCAATGCAAGCCATCTGCTCCTATATCGATCGGTGTGTAGACGTGTCAAATCGATATCTAGTCACAATTTACACATCGTAGCTTAAGGTCGATTATATATCGGCATGCAGATATAACTGTGGAAATTAAAATGAATCATCGAATATCATTACAGTCGAGAACGCGAATCGCAAAACCTCGTGTTGAAATGTATGAAAAGTAAGAACCATTTACGATTTAGTACGTGTGATTAAAAAGTCGAGTTCGTCAACGTTAAACAAGATAATGCCTTGGACCCCCTCTATATCACCTAAATAGGAGACTTAGATTTGTTTTTCTTATTCTTTAATGTATTTTAAATATATATTTTTTTATCAAATTTGATCTGGTACAAGCTTTATCAGGCTCAGATTATTCGTGACTGTAAACCCCCCTCTGATTTGAGGAAATCATCATATAGTTGAAATCAGGTACAGGTGACTGTCAAGATTTCTCGGGTTTCTTTTTCTTTTGATCGATGCTTCCTCTGTTCGTTTTTGTTGTTTTTCTCTGTCGACATCGGGTTCTGGGCCCGTATTCCCGAAACCGTTCCCATGCTCAAGCTTAATTTCTTGTTCGGGTTAAAAAAATAATAATTTAACTTTTTGTCAATGATATCGAAACTTATTTTGTTGTTTTCTCTAGTAGTTAGAGATGAAATCCTTTGAAGTGATTCGTTCGAAGTTCAACCCTTTAGCTTCGATTGGTATACCTGTTAGTTTGAGCACAAAAGCCATGCTTGAGCATGGAATCTGTTAAAAATAATCTGTTTTATTTTTGGGGTGGTCACTTCATACCAGATTGATTGTATCGATCAGTTCTATGGTGGCTCGACATACAACCGATTTCCCCTATTTCTCGATACCAAAAAATATGAACTAAATGTTTTACTTTCAGTTATAATCAGTAATATTATACGAAAGTAAACTTAGCCACGCTTCTGTTTTTTCAATGTCTTTTAAAGAAGGATGGGTTTAATATCATTATTCCTTTGTTAATAAAATGCAAGTCACTGTGACATGGTTCGTAGTGATTACGTCGATCACAAACAGGCACACATCGGGACTCTTGACTAGTTCAAATTAAACGGGACATGCATTTGTCAAACTTATGGAATAATCCATTCATTTATTTCAAAAGTTTACATAGAAATCTAAAGTTTACTGATCTTTAAGAGAGGTGTTTACTCTGTGTGTTTGGTGAATGGAATGCTTATAATTTCTCCTGAAGTCTGGTCGATATGTCCATTTGTTAGAATGATTAATGTAGGTAACACACATAAAGTTGCATCTTCAAATTTGATAAAAGATACATGGTACCAAAATTGTAATAACAGAAGCCCCATTTAGCAATTCTGACTTTCTAGATCTCATCAGCGATACCAGGGGCTAAAATGGTGGATATGTAAATTTGCCTTAAGTAATGGTGAAACAGAAGGGGAGGTGCGAAACAGATAAGTTGCTATAATAATGCATTTGGGACTTGTGCTATTGCATAAAGCAGATACAAAGCTTGTAAGAATTGATTATAACTGACATTTAATTTATGAAGTGGATATCCACTGTATAAATAAAAATTCAAAATAGTCGTTTAAATATTCAATATTTTCACCATTTTATTTCTTTGTTTTCATTATTAGAGTTAAAATTTCAGTCTCATAATGTTTCTTGGCGAATGAAGGGTTATGTCATCGAGCAGGTCAAATGACCGCGAAAATATTTTGTTGAATATTAATACGTATTCGCACTGTTACACACAGGGCATGGGTCTACGATCAGTCATCCGAGATATAAAGAAATGTATGTTTCTACACGAGATTGAAATATAACTCTCCAAGTGCAGCTAGTATGATGAATAAACAATTAACTGATACTCTATACTTAGTCTGTTTGTCTTTGCGTGTTCGCAAGTCTCTCGGTACAAGAAACGGAGTGTAAATAATACCCGATCGCGGAAGCCTATCTGCACGACAATTCTATTGGCTATTGGTTTGTATCGAGGGCACTGATTGGTTGTGTATTGTTTAAAATATCCGGTCTAGATAAAGTATAATGGTCCCATTCATGAATTGGACTTGACAGCGTTTGAAAGCATTATAATCGTTATCCATGCAATCAAATAAGTATTATGTATAGAGTAATCGTACTCGGACTAACTGGTTCAGGTATAAATACAAGTCGTTTTAAACGGTTTAATTATTGTATCCCTTTGACGAGGTATACAAGCGGACACTTCGGATATTATTGTGTTTAAATTAACAGCGTTCTAAATATTTGGATTATCAGAAATGACAGTGTAATATTTTATATACTACACCGTGCTTATTTACACATCGCCTGGATTTATTTAGGTAATAATCGTTTTCCAATATTTCCATAGGCAATAAGCGTTATCAAGATCTAAAACTAAAATACGGGTTGTGCAAGACTTAATTGATGAGTGTTCTCTGCGATTAATAGAACCTATAAGCGTTCTTCATAATTGAAATATGAATTAAGTGCTATATATGATTAATATAGGAAATACGAATTTTTACGTATTATATGAGTAATGCAGACTTTGACGGTAGGTATGAAAAAGAATATTCTAGTGGCGACACATCTTCTCTTCTCCAGGCTTTGTGAAATTAGTGTTTGTTTTATATTTCTCACCTAGGCATTTAGCATAATAAGCGTTGTTCAAGATTAGCAGAGGTAATAAGCGTTCGTCAAGAGTTTATTTATATGTACGAAATGTAAATGGCAATTTTCACGATATAAAGTAAGCATTCTTCAGGATTTAACAAAGGTGGTAAGCGTTTTTCAGGATTTTACATTAGAATAATTGTTTTGGTTTAATTTTTGTTTAACGTCCTATTAACAGTTTATTTAAAGACGTGCCTCCATGTGTGTAAAGTATGCGTGCTTGCGTGTGTGTGTGCAGGAAACGGTATGGTGGTGTGCTTGCCTCCTTGTGATAGCGCGGATCTGATACCGACTTTGTAGTGCTATCTCACTGAAATACCATGCCGTAGGCACCCAGCACAGCATTCCGCCCGGTTACATTATACTGACAACGGATGAACCAGTTGTTGCCATTCCCCTTAATGCTGAACGTACAGCAGGGAATAACAACTACCATTTTTTAGGACTTTGGTATGTCCCGGCTTGGAAACAGAACCCATTGCCTTCCTCACCTAGGCGAACGCTCATTATTAAGGCCAAAAGTCAGGAAATAAAAGGTAGTTAGAAGTAGAAAGCAAGATTAAGATCCCATAAATTGCAATGGGTGCAGCAGATTCATTTTGGTCACTTTTGTGTCCCCAAATAGAGGACACCAAAGCAAATCCTCAATTCTGTAGAGGGTTCACATTAGTCGCCGCCTATGATACATGCAGTGGGAAACAGCAGGTGTATTGTTTTCCTGATTCCCCTCCTGCAGGGGTTGCATTAAGCATTCTTCAGGAATTACATTAGTAAAAAGCGTTCTTCAGGATTTCCATTGGAAATAAGTGTTTTCCAGGTAATACGCTTTCTGAAGTATTTACACAGGTTTTGAGCTTTGAGTGTTTACATAAACAATAAGAGTTAAACGTCCCCTATGATAAAACTTCATCCTCTTTTGTGTCGTTTCTAAAGTCAACTTCCTTTTTATTACGCTGTGCATATGCTAAGTTTAGCGATAAAAATGTTTTCGCTCCGAACCCCCCCCCCCCGCTAAATTGAACAAAGTGTAATGAACAAAGTGTAAATTATAAGTGATTGTCAAATATTGTGGTCAACTTGTCATTAAGCTACATAAAAACCGTGCGACTGAAACTGTCTGGTGAAGTTTAACTAGGGACTTTATGCAAAATACTTACCCTTCCTGAACACCTTGTCTTATCCTCCTTGTACTTGGTCTTTTACACGGATTGCGAATTAAATTTTTTTTTTTCACATTTTGCCCTAGTTTTGCGATTTTTATTTCGAGCTTTGGATTTTTCGACACTTCGGTATTGTCCTGTTCTTGTCTTATCTTTATTATATAATTGTATTGATTCAGCGTTTGTTATGAGTAATTCTGAGTAAATTATTTTGAAAGGCAACATATATATTGGGATTGACGCATAATTTGATGATCCGAACTCTGCATTGATTTCTCGTGAATTAATTTAACTATTGTGTGTATTCAAAGTGCTAGGATAGGTTATGCATTTCGATACTGTATCATAAAGCCATTAACGTTTTATACACGACATTATATATTCATAACAGACACTATATTTAACCATATGATTTCTCTTCAATAATTATCCTTCCTTTGTCTTTGCTTGTCATAGATTTGACTGGATAACAACGATATGCAGTACAAGGATCGTTGTTCACCTGATTATGGCTATTGCAGCGAACAGGAACATCCGGTAACCGAAACCTTGCTATCCCCTCGCCAGGTGTATGAAATGGGGGGTTGTGCGCATGCCTGGACAGACGACTCCTCCATGTATCCGGTAACTAACGTTTCTCCCGCCCTACCCGACATGACAAACATTATTCCACATACGTATGAAGCGGACAAGCGCGTCCCACCATCGTATGCAGAGCACATGCAGAGAACTAGAAGCAGGTCTTTAAGTGCACCTCAAATGAACTGTAGTAGTGACGTCAGAGGCCATGAAACGTCACAGCAGATACAATCTACTGGAGCTATGCTGAACGATATTATGGACTGTATATCTGCCGACGGACAGACCAGCGATGGTAAGTTGTTTTTTTTATCAAAAAAATATCTTGCAGAGTACCCACATTTTCGACCTTGTGATCATGCAATTAGCTATACCCTGATTTGTAAGTATGCACCTCCTCATCTGTTTCAACAGTAGTTTCAACCTATTTGAATGTTGACTCTTGGGCCCCTAGCCTCACTTATGAGCCCTACAATGACAAAACAGATGTATGATGCAGTGCACCTCATTTTTTTTAACAATATATCCAAATTGTATTCCGTCTTTGCGTATTGCGGAGTTATCTTCTCTTTGGAGCAGGTATTGATTGTTACGTCACTAGTTTGTGAGAGTAACGTCATCAATTTTTGGGAAAACGACGTAATTTTCTCACACAAACCAATGACGTAACAATCAATACCTGCTCCCAAGAGAAGATAACTCTGCAATACGCAAAGACGAAATAGGCACAATCAAGCTGCTCGTGACTCATCACAAAGCCTTGCTAAATGATTAATGCGAAATAATAAGTGTTTATTATCTAGATAGATTATTCAACTCTCAATATAGTATACCTCTGAATAAAATCAATTATACAAATATTATGATTATAAGTACATTAGGTTAAAATAAGAGTTATAATAATCTATATAATACATTATTAATACCTTATTGTTTATTTCTGATTAAAATCAAACTTAAACCAGAAACTTGACGATTGTTCAATGTAAAGCTATATCAAGGAAAGAATAGTAGTATTTTATATTTTAAGTGTTCACAAACAAGTTACTGATACTATAAATTTGATGACAGTGTCATGAATCTACTGACAATGAATAATTCTATCACAATTCGAGTGATTTGAACGATAACAAAGTTATTGCATACTATATTTATCAGGGAGTTAATATCAGACCTACGGATGATAACTAAGTATGTAGAACATTTGTTCTCTAGGCACTCAGAATGTGTGTCTTCACGCAGAAAAATAAGAACAGTACAACAATGATTTTCAGGCGCTGTCATATCGAAAACATTAAAACTAAAATATTTTTTCATCTGGTGACTAAGGTTGATTTTGAGAAGAAATGTCATATTTTCTTAGCGATTTTAAGCAGAAGTATTCCTTGGGTTATACCTATTTACGTCATAATCATGTAAAAAGTAGTCCCTACAACGTCTTTGAATCGATTTGATGTAACTTGTCTAACAATTTGAGGAAATTTGCCAGCATTCCAGCTTTGTTATACCGTAATGTGCCTTCGTATACAAGTACAAGTGTGTGTGTGTGTTATTTTTCAAATTGCAACAAGGTGCACCTTCTTAGCAAGGCAATCCATATAGTGAATGTTATGTCTAAGTCGATGATCAGTTGTTGTAGTTTTATTTCTATAGCTCTGTTATTGGGAGAAATATATATTATGATATAAAGAAGCAGGTAAATTTGGGTGAATATTTATTTATTAATAAAACAGTTAGTTAATGATATAGGACGATACTATTGCGGATTT